GGGATAGGTACCTTTCTCAAGCTTAATTAATTGTATAGGATTGATTACGTTCTGACCTGGTTTTAAAAGTTTACTTTTAGTATGGGGTCCAAAAACTCGACACAAAATTGTAGGGTGGGGCTCATGGATGGCATTGGAACTAAAAAAAGAAGAAATAGAGATTCGTCCAAGCCTATTCTATTTAGACTAAAGCTGAATCATAAATATTAAATAGTGAACGTACATAAATTCGTTCGAAGATAGAGACAGAGATTAACTGAATCTTATCCCTGCCCCGCTAGATTTATATATATAATTTTGATGATATGTGTGACAATAGCTTTGAAGGTTTTTAAATTTCGAGTCATAAACTTTTGTTAACTTATTTCTTTTTTTTTTTATTTTGATTATATCATATAATATATAGATGTATATAACTTATATTTTAATTATTATAGTTGTTTTTTTCAAAAATAAAATTTTAAAATTACAAAAATTAATTGTTATGTATAGAACAGAATGGAAATTAAAATTTATCTATGGAATGGGATGAAAATTAAAATTTATCCATTAATGGGGATAGATTGTGAGAGGGTAAGAACATTTTTTTTTTCAGCAGGTACAAGGTGGAAAGTGATCAAATTTAGGAAGAGAATCTCACTGTGTCGGATCAGTGAATTGATTATGGCTATGCGTGGATCAATCTGTGGAAGCTATTCCTCAAAACAGCTCACCCCACACATTCGTAACAGCTTATCACTTATCACTTATATAAGGCACCACTTTACTTTTCGAAAAGTATGATTATATTATTATTGTACTAAAATATAATTCTTTAATATTGTATCTTTAACCTTTTTTTTTCACTAAAAGTAAATCATGTGTAAAATTTTATTATTTATTAATTTTTATCTAAAATAAAATCAATAATTGAGATGCGTCTCGATACAATACCAACTTAGATATCATATCTTTCCCGACCTTCGCTGGCATGCCTATTAGGGTTTATAACAACACTGCTATAATTACTTGATTTGTAAATGGTTGGCAAATTTTACTCGATCTTGGCATTCTTGTTTGTTATAAAATACGATTTTGGTACATATACCGGAGTTTGGCCATTTGGATGGTCATATATTTCAGCATTGCAGTTTAAAATTTTAAATGAATTGGTGGTTTAATTGATTGACATAGGCTGATGGTATAACTATGCACCTTGAAGCTTACTGATCTTGCAATTTTGTTGTCTACAACCAAAAATTTGGTACAAACTACCCATTCGAAATGCACTCTTTTCGCCCATCCAAGCCTCATGAAGCATTTACCAACCTTTGGACAACGTTGCAACTTTTATTGACAAATGGCTTTCAAGATTTCCTTATTACTCTTCCCCGACTTTAGCGGAAACACATATGGCTACAAATATACTATGCGACTTTAACACTACAGTACTGTGTGAATTAAATGCGAATTGAGCCTCAAATGATATTTGCTTGAAAAGAACGAAGCATGTTAAGTTTTTATGTTGGAGATAATGGACGACGGCACATTCACTAGCTAGGACAGCTAAGATATGTGTCTCACACTCCAGCTTATTAATCATCATGGACCTAGACATAGAATATCAACCCTTAAACATAACAGATAGGGTACAGCTGAGAAAAGCTATAGGAAAGTAAATCTTTCAACAAAACCCAGGCTTGAGCCTTTTTCATATTGTATGAAAATCTCATGGCGGTTTTCATTCCTAATTCGTAACTTGGATAGCACAGCTTTGCACAACTGACGGTCTGGTAGGCATGCTGGTAGCCTATGCTAGACAGAACTGATCCACCAAGAAAAGGCAGCCCCTTTGTAAAGACTATAAATTCATAGGAAGGGCTCAAATCATGTTCTTAAAGGGGCTATAGATACATAGATATAACACAAAAACACACACACACAAGATCTATAAGTTCAAATATATACACAAACAGTCTCTCACCTTTCTCCTCTCATTCCTANAATTGGTGGTTTAATTGATTGACATAGGCTGATGGTATAACTATGCACCTTGAAGCTTACTGATCTTGCAATTTTGTTGTCTACAACCAAAAATTTGGTACAAACTACCCATTCGAAATGCAGTCTTTTCTCCCATCCAAGCCTCATGAAGCATTTACCAACCTTTGGACAACGTTGCAACTTTTATTGACAAATGGCTTTCAAGATTTCCTTATTACTCTTCCCCGACTTTAGCGGAAACACATATGGCTACAAATATACTATGCGACTTTAACACTACAGTACTGTGTGAATTAAATGCGAATTGAGCCTCAAATGATATTTGCTTGAAAAGAACGAAGCATGTTAAGTTTTTATGTTGGAGATAATGGACGACGGCACATTCACTAGCTAGGACAGCTAAGATATGTGTCTCACACTCCAGCTTATTAATCATCATGGACCTAGACATAGAATATCAACCCTTAAACATAACAGATAGGGTACAGCTGAGAAAAGCTATAGGAAAGTAAATCTTTCAACAAAACCCAGGCTTGAGCCTTTTTCATATTGTATGAAAATCTCATGGCGGTTTTCATTCCTAATTCGTAACTTGGATAGCACAGCTTTGCACAACTGACGGTCTGGTAGGCATGCTGGTAGCCTATGCTAGACAGAACTGATCCACCAAGAAAAGGCAGCCCCTTTGTAAAGACTATAAATTCATAGGAAGGGCTCAAATCATGTTCTTAAAGGGGCTATAGATACATAGATATAACACAAAAACACACACACACAAGATCTATAAGTTCAAATATATACACAAACAGTCTCTCACCTTTCTCCTCTCATTCCTACACTATCAACTTATACAATTTAGGAATGTAAACTGTTATTTATTGACTGTACAAAAAACCTACACAATTTTGTAGAAAAGTTGAGGTAAAACTTTGAGAATGCGGGATGTAACAACTTTATAGTATCTTGAAAATGAAGTTACAATCCAACAAACAAACTTTGATTAAGTGGGAGTGATATTTTTAAGTGTGTGTGTTACTCAAAGGGTCGGGATTGGTCTCAGTCTCCAGCATATTCAATCAACTGTCCTAGCAAGAACAACTTGAATTTCTTCAAAATGCATTGTTCTCACCCTATTGTTCTGACATATTAAAGAACACAATTATTTTCCTTCCTAGACAAAAATTATTTCCTGTAAGACAAGCACCACTTAAAAAATAAGATGTTTCTTGGTTACCTGCTGGTTTTCTTTCTAAAAAATGATGAAATTGTATCCCCATGAAAACATGGATGAAACCACTGTAAAACTTTTTGTACCCTCTTTCAAAAATTTCATCTATTTGATTGGTAAGTCATAAGAAGAAAATTCATAGTTCAAATGCTTAGTATAAATAAAAAGAAATGATCAAATTAAGTAAGATGTATTTACCTTGGTTAGTTTATGAGCCAACAAAGAATTTTTATCTTTGAAACCCATTGGNTTTTTTTTTTTTTTTTTTTTTGGGATAGGTACCTTTCTCAAGCTTAATTAATTGTATAGGATTGATTACGTTCTGACCTGGTTTTAAAAGTTTACTTTTAGTATGGGGTCCAAAAACTCGACACAAAATTGTAGGGTGGGGCTCATGGATGGCATTGGAACTAAAAAAAGAAGAAATAGAGATTCGTCCAAGCCTATTCTATTTAGACTAAAGCTGAATCATAAATATTAAATAGTGAACGTACATAAATTCGTTCGAAGATAGAGACAGAGATTAACTGAATCTTATCCCTNATTTGATTGGTAAGTCATAAGAAGAAAATTCATAGTTCAAATGCTTAGTATAAATAAAAAGAAATGATCAAATTAAGTAAGATGTATTTACCTTGGTTAGTTTATGAGCCAACAAAGAATTTTTATCTTTGAAACCCATTGGAAGGGGCAGTGCGCGAGGAATATATTGTGTGAAACTAAATGTTTAGAAAGCATCTTGAAATCATGTTAAGATTCTTGAGTTGATATTTTCTCATAATGGGACACATATTATGATCTGCAGCAACATCTTTCTCCTAATTAAAAAATAATTAAGAAAAGGCCTGCATTTGATGTTAATAGCTGCAGTAATTATGTCTACATGCTTGAAATTATTATGGAATAGATCGAGATTCATGTATAACATAAGATATAACAAAGAAAGTAGTGCAACTATGCATTGTGCAAGTGAGAACACCCAAATTTGTACATACAATTAAAATGCCTCTGCTGTTGCTAATGGCAGGAGTTATCAAGGTGAGACGTTCTTTCAGATAAATTGGAATGGTTATGTTGTGAAGCTATATGGTATGTGCTCATATGAAAGACTACTTTACCACAAGAAACCAAAAACAAAAGCATAAAAAACTACAAAAATTACCAAAACCCAAAAACAAAAACAAGAAGAAAAAGTGGATATACAAAAACAAAATATCAATTTAAGGAAAAAAGGATAGCAGTGAGGAAAACTGGAGATTGAAATTAGGTAAACAGTGATACTTGTATTGTCCATCGAATCAAAGCAAGTTTATGCTCTCTCTCTCTCTCTCTCTCTCACACACACACACACGAGCTTAATGAAGAGAATAAAAGGAAATATGGATATAGATAACAAAAGAATCGAAGTGGAAATTCACTACTCACTGCTACTCAGCATAAAGCAAGCCATCACAAGAAAGCTTAAATCCATGGAATTTAAGTACTCAGGACAGAATCAGCACCTAGAACTGAGGTGGAACCTATCCAATGATTGCCTCCTGTGAGCAGAAGAGCATTATCACAATTTTGTAACAAATGCCTCCCTCATTTGTTAGCAATGTTAGAAATAAAACATAGTGAAGTAGGGATCATTACAAAAGATGAGTGAATGTGATGAGGAAACGAACAAAGATCTTAAGTGCGAACTGCCAAGGATGAACATAAAATAGAAGATTGAGCGAATTTACAAACTAGTACTTGCATTCTCAGATGAAGTCAGGAGCTCATCCAGCAGATCTGCTCCTAAGTCTTCAAATACCAAAACATTATTAGAAATTTCTGAGAACCGTGAATCATTTCCTTCACTTATTTGTTTCCCTTTCTTTCTCCTACCTTTTGACATACTTCTCATCTTGTGTGTTTCCTTCAGGGCTGCAGCTGGGGAATAACCATCCTTGTAGCTGCTGAACTTCATTTCCATGACTCGAAGCGATTCCTGAACTCTCTCCTTTGGGAAGTTCAGGAGAGCCAACTGACCTCGCATCAAAAATGCAGCTTGATCATAAGCCAAAGCAGCCTCCTCAGCAGTATCAAACGTTCCGAGCCAAACCCTTGTTCCTTGCCTTGTTGAATCCCTAATCTCGGCCGCAAACTTTCCCCATGGACGCTTTCTAACTCCTACATAGTGCTTTTCCTTTACAGGCTCTTCTTCTTTCACATTGGAATCGATCTTTTCTTTCTTTTCTCCCTTGGAAAAATCGATTTCCACTGGTTCCCCGGCGTCCTCATTTAAGATCTTGAATTCAAGTTTCTCTGCTGCTTCATATTTGTGTAGTGGAAGTAAATCATTAGCAAAAAGAAACTCATCCCATGATGAGGATGGTGGAGACTCTGGAGAGAGTTTGACACTAGGGTATTGAGGGGTTGAAATATTCATCTGCAAATAGATGACTTCAGAGGTTCAGAAGTTATGCTATCTGCTATGCTGACCAAGTCATCAATGGGAAATCTACGGTAAATGATGGAGAGAGCAATAGATTGTAAATTCAGACGTCTTTGAATTTGAATACTTGTAATTTTTTTTAGATCAGGTCACAAGTAATTTATGATTTATAAATCTCTTATTTCTAACGTGAATAACTTATTTTTGACCAAATCATGATGATAATTAGACGAAATCTGCCAACCCAAAACACCTCTTACTGTAATCCTAAAAAAAAATTCCTCAATTGGGTCTAAATGCCCCCAAAACAGGTCTAAAGGGATTCCATTAAGCTAAAGTGGGAGATAAAGAGCTTTGTGTGTGGGGGTAAACCTCAGGGTCTAAGCCTATATATTGAGTAAAGCAACACAACTTAGCAAAGGTGGTGTGAATAAGTACTAATTTGATCTCAGCCTTGTCCAAGTGGCCATTATTGAATTGAGGAACCACGTAGGTTGGGTTTGTCAGATTTCTGATTTTCAAATGAATCACTCATTTTCAGATTACATTTAAACTAATGCACTCAACTTTCCAGGAGATAATTATTGTACTTTGTTGTCAATTAGTTGTAATATCCTTATCTTGAAATAATATTTGAGTCTGTAACGAAAATTTCGGTTGGAAGGAAATTAATTTATCAAAAAAACTTATATCTTTTCCTCAGCCATAAACTATTTGGTAACCAAAAGTGTTTGATGGGACTTCTAGGGACGAAACTGTTTCATTGAAGAAATTGAATTGATATTAAGAATTTTCAGTTTTTTAGTATTTTTAATGTATATTTCCTGTCCATCTGTATATATTTCATTGAGGGTATTTGAAGCCATAAAACTATTTACAATAATATCCATATTCATAAACATCCACATGAATAAATAAATATTCCTAACATGTACAAACCCCAAGGTCATCTGTTAACGTCACATACAAAATTAACAATAATCTCGTGCCTAAAGACATTATGTACAAAATACCAAAACTCATGTTTTAATTGTATAATATATATATTTTAAATAATAATTTTTTATTATTTTTTGGTTTCTTTATTACACTATTTAAAATTAAAATGAACAGAAAAAAAATAAGATAGAGAGAAAGAGAGAGAGATATACGGGAAAAGGAAGAAAGGGATAGATGTAAATTAATGAATTTGTCTAATATTAGAGAGTGTGTTGATCAAGTTGTTTGACATTAAAAACCTTGTAGAAAAGACGATATTTTAGAGAGAGCAAACAAAATTGAAAAGTAGATGAAAATTATATCAATTTTGACCGTTGTTTTGTTTTTATACAAATTGAGAATTTAACTCAGTAGCTATAATATTAGATAAATACTACATGCATATTCAGGCTATATCTGCTCTAATATCAAATATAAACGCATGACCAAGTTACTGTATTAAAAGATATGTTTGCACATCTATGTTCTAATTTCAATTTTTTTTGTGTGTGTACGAATCATGGAATAAAAACAAAATTTGAAAGAAAATCAAATAAAAATCAGTAGTTTACAGGATTCAAATGTTGCATCTATCTGAAACTCACAAGAATTATAGAATCTTACATGGGGTCTCATTCATCTAACATAAAAAGTGATTGACAGAGGTTCTACTAGACTCGATAAAACAGTTGCTACTCCATTATCTCACTAATTATATTGTAATTTATGAGATAATTGTAAGGAATAGACGCCTAATTTTGAACCCCCAATTCATTCTCTTTAATCTATTTGGATGTCATATTAACACTTAGCTCAACCGTGTTACTATGACTCGGTTGAATATTGCCCAACTTAGCCAACAATAACTAGAAATCATTGATTTAAGCCTTGGGAACAGAGAAATCTATGTAGCATGAACCAAACTTCGATCACATATAGCTTCTTTCTTTTACACTAAAGTGAGCAAGAAAGACAATGCCCTAAGTTGTTGCTAGCAAATTATAAAAGATATAATTGAAGTTTTGCAAGAAAAGGTTCATCTTTACAAGTTTAACAAATGATGTTAAATCTTAAGGGTGGTCCAGTAGTTAGGTTTGGTAGTAACTCAAATATCTCAGTTTTAATATTTTTCATACCTCCTAAAGGCTATCTTTGTTCCTCAAAAAACATGTTATAAATCCATTCGAGTTGCGGTAGTCAGTTTCCGAACTCGAGGATTTTTCCAAACACCTTGTAGCAAAAAAAAAAAAATCATGATGCCAAAAAATAATTAAAGATAATTTAAACAATTAAAAAAAATTTCTTATAACTTTTTTTTTTTTCAAACAATACAATGAAATTGTTTTGAAAATTTTCATGTTAACCAAATACATACATGGAAATATATTTTCTTTCATTTTTTTTTCTTTCATTTCACTTTCTATCTCTTTCACTTTCCATTATCTTTTTTTTGCTAACCAAACGGACCCTACAGAATATGTTAATTGAGGTGTTTGACATTAGACGGTTGTACACAGAAGATGGTGTTTGTCAACAATAAAAAATTTTTTTGGAATAAATTTTATACTTTAGACAAAATTTAATTAATATAAATCTTTACTTTGTTTTTATGTTTTATAAACCTGCGATTACAACGGGGATTTGACTTGTGGGCTTTGTCTTGTATTGTCGGCTAATCGCCCACGTATCTTTTTCATCTTTACACTGTGTTCCCAACAAAGACAAACAAAAATTTACATTAACCATCCATGTCTTGGTTTTCTTCCCTATTTTCTTTTGGGCGGATGTCATCAGCAATACTAGGGAGAATTACATCTACATCCTCTAAAATTTATCACTTAATCATTTAAATTTTCTAACATTTTAAATATTACATACAAACCTCTTGAGATTTGTACAAGCATAAAACTTAAATTTTTGCAGTCAATATCCGTTAGCATATCTGTTAATAAATTATACTCAGACCCCCTAAAATTTGTATACATGTAATATTTATTATACTTAGATACAAAATATTTCAATTAAAAATAGAATATCAAATATTTTAAATTGTATAACAAAAATTCATGTTCTACTATGTCATTTATTGAAAGAATAATTCAATTTTTTATTAAAAATCATAATTAGTATATAACTATACTATATATTAGAATAAAATAAAAAAACTAAACAATGGGTTAAATTATAATTGACACAATATCTTCTATCTTTAATTGGAGTAATTTAATCGTTTAATAAATTTTGTTAGTTTTGTAACTAATAAGTTGTTTAAGTATTACACGCTTACATACTTCAAGAGATCTAGGTATAATTTGCTAACGGACACTGACGGCAGGTCATAAGTGTTATGTGAGTACAAATTTTAGGGAGTTTATGTGTAATATTTTAAATATCAAGGTCTAAAAAATTAACAAAAATTAGGAGGTTTAGATATAATTCTCTCTAAATAATAACAAAAAATTCAAAGATAGCATCAATATATGTTTTTTTCTTTTGCTAAATAATATGTGCTATATAAGATTCTTTTATCATCACTGGACCTAAACTATCTTTCTTTATGCTCCATTTGGTAGGAATGATGAAAAATAGGAAAGATAGTAAGTAGGAAGGATACACTTTCTATCCTTCAAGGAATGAAAGTAAAAATATTATATTTTCCTTCCTTTGTGTTTGGTTGGATGGATAGAAAATAAAAATTACTAATTTTTTTTTTTTGTACTGCTTAAGATTAGGGGTGATAATCGAATTGTGTCATGATAGATTCCTGTTAAATCATTATAAATTTGTGTCGAACATTAGTCAAACATAATTGAGCTTATTTAACTATTTGTGTTGTGTCGACTTTTGAGTTACGAGTTAACTTGTTTATTTTTGTGTTGTGTTCGTGTTCATATTCGTGTTAACCTACATAAACTTTGAATCACAAATTTAACGTTAATATTTTATTTTCACTTAATTGAATTCATGTTAATGTTTTTTCTACAAACANTTAACCTACATAAACTTTGAATCACAAATTTAACGTTAATATTCTATTTTCACTTAATTGAATTCATGTTAATGTTTTTTCTGCAAACAAAAAATTAACTTAAATAAATATAATAATAATAAATAAAAATATCTTTTTTATATAATAATTATGTCAGTACTAGATAAATAGTTACAAATAATTAATATGTAATGTCTATAATACTAGTTAAACATATTAGTTTCGTGTTAATTTCGTGTTATCATGCAAAAGAGAAAATAGAGAAAATATTTATTTTTAAATAAGTGGGTTGATAGCGTTAATTTTAAGTTTGATTGGTTTAACTGAATATGAACATTTTATATTTCTTGTTCGGGTGTCTGGTTATTTTCAAGTTTATATCGAGTTATAATTAAGTTTGTATCATAAAATTCATGTCGAGTTCGAGTCGTGTAATCGTGTTAAGTCAAAAAATTTCACTTATAATTTAAATGGAAAAAATATTTTTTTTAATTTAAATTTTTTTTAATTTTTTTTAAAATTTTAAAATATATATATATATATATATATATATATATACATATTTTATCATTCTATTTTTATATGAAATTAATGTATACATAATATATGTATATATCAAAAGATATATAGACAAATAAAATACATCTCAACACAAATAATTAACTTTTCATCTACTTTCCTTCTAATTTTGGAGGGATTGATTTTGATGAATTTGAAAGAAAGTTAATTCATCCACTTTTTCATCCTTCTTATTTTTTTTCTTTACCAAACATAATGTTTTATTGATCCCTCAAACTTTCCATCATTCCAATTTTTCATCTTTCTATTTTTCCATTATACCAAACGGAGCATTAGTGTTGTTAATATGGTAATATGGTTTTTTTTGGCTAAATAATACGCCCTTATATAGAATTTTTCATAATGTTACCATGATTTTCATTTTTTTTTTCTGATATACTATAATTTTTAATTTATTTTTCAAATTACTTTTATTCAACTCAAATTTTTCAATATAGATGAGAGTTTT